CTTATAAATTACGGAAATGATATTTTATTTTAACTCTCGGGCTTTTGCATAAATACATTGTAAATAGAAACAACAGTGATGACTGAAGATAAAAAATCATTTTATATGTACAATGTTAATTCTTCCGGGCCCTTTTCTGTACCTAAACAGAAAAAGAGGGCCTTTCTTGCATGAAAGACTTGAAAAAAAGCCGAAAAATAGAAAATGATTCTGCCATGAACGACAGAAGAACATCAAATTATTCAAGATTAGCTGTTGGCCGAGAATGACCAAGCAAAGCCAGGAAAACCCCCCAAGAATCACTCTTCTTCACAAGTGAATCGCCCCCGACACCCCGCTTCGTTAACAGCCACCTTCCCACCCCGGTCTCGCCGTTTCTCGACGATAGCCTGCAGCAGCTAACGTATGTGTGTATGTATGTGTGTGACATACACACACGCACATATACACGCAGAAAACTAGCTGTCGAACCGGTTCGACGGCGTCGTCGTCGCCGTCGACGCGATGGCGCCGACGTGCGGCAGCGTCGATCTCGACGTGGGGCGCGATCGGCGAGACGCGAGATCGCGCGGATCGCTGTAATGCCCTCGGAAGCGGCCGAAGACGCACATGCGGAAGACGTGGCGAAGAAGCTACCGTTGTAAAACCACATCACGTGTTTGGCTAGAAAACTCGCACAGCTTCTCGTGCAACAGCGCTGTTTTCACCTGCACGCTTGATAGCGGGGGAGGGGAGGAGGGCGGAATCAAAAATTTGAAGTTTCCTCCAGATATCTCTACGGTAATAAAAAAAGTAGCTCACGTCGTTGCACTCACAACTTTTACTAGAAAATGTGCTTCATTAGGGGGGCGGGAACGCCCCGATGGGTAACCTCCGCGGGACTTCTGGTCCTTAAGCGGCACCATAACATGTGGTAAAGATTCAGTGATCCGCGATTCTTCGTTCCATTTCCTAAATACTGCTAGATTTAAGACTCTGATGAAGTATTCGACGAAGATTGAGGTGATTACTTTGAATCAATCTATGCTTGGGTGATTTCTACAACGGTAGAAAAACTTTTACTTTCAACTTCAAGAAGGAAAATGATCAATCAACTTGAAAAAATCTTTTTACTTTAACAGTAAACACTAATCGAACTAGTTAATAGTTCGCCGGTTTTTTTTCTGAAAAGGCAAATAAGCTTTTTTATTCTAATTAAGCAGAATTATTCCTAGATAGAAATGTGTTCTAATAAACTTCGAAAAAATGAGAAGTGAAATCAAGCAACCAGGTCTTACTTCATTTAGAATTTTTGGATATTTTTTGAAAATTGTGTAGTGGATGAGCTCAGAAAAGGTGCAAAGCTATAAAACTTGTTCCAAAAAAGATTTGATCCAGTAACAAATTTTTTACTTTATGTGATTGATTCCAAATTTGATTTTAATTTCTGATCGACGAACTTACCGAGACAGCGTGTCGCGAAGATCTTCTCCACATGTACGTACGTACGAATGATTCAATCTCGGGCGAAAATCGAAATTTACCTTCTTTTGAACGGGTTTATCCACCTCGGCCGCGCTCTGTGCCCGGTCCCTGACATCTCGGTCGGTCGCCAGCCGTTCCGTGCATCCTCTTTGCATTTGTTCCTAATGAGAATTTTATTTAGATAATTTTGCACAGATTTTATTGCATATGCTCTTCTGTAACTTTTCGAGAGGTTCTGAAAAAGTAAAGTGGTTTGAACAGATATTATGAGCTTTCAGTCAGTATGTTGTTCTTTTATTTGAAAATTATTATCTCGATGAAACCGTGAACAGCTTTTTACTGAGTATACGTAAATGAAAAAACTTAAAATATTGACCTTCTTGAATGCTTAAGAGACACGTGCTTCAACTTCCTGTTTAAGCTCGCGTTTCAACATTAAACTTTTGACATGCGTCAGAATATCTCGCGATAGCAATTTTTCGATTTCTCGTGAAGTTTTTACACTTTGAGTACCTCCTCTTATTTTCTTTACACTATATCTTTCACGGTGACGAAGCCGGTACATCTGCTACCAGTATATCAACTCTAGTTTGTAGATCAAATATTCCCTGACCACCGTGGCAGTTCACCTCTCAGTTCTTCAGCTGTTCTTGAGACTTTTTGGTTCAGCATTCTTTTCCAGCTTTTCTGGTGTAGCAACGATTGTACACAAGCGCTCTTGGCGAATGCATCGCATCATCTCGACGCCGCTTTTTCGTCACACCTCATACGAATAGTGGCTGCTCTATTAATCGTACGTTGATCATCGGTGTGACTCTCTAGGAGAAGTCATCCCAAACAATCCAGAAGTGCTTGACTGGGTAGAGGAGTTGAGGGCTGGGGAGAGGGGGGGGGGAGAATAAGTCGCACAAACATCTCAAAGTCATGAAGCATCTTTGTCTACCACTAAACAGAATAGTATAATTTTTTATCCCCTTACCTAATGCTGCGTCCTGCAAAGAAATCATTACCCTGATGCTTCACGATTAGCTTAATAGTTCCGTGAAGTTAGGAAGAGTTAGGAAGTTTTTGCACTTGAACATTCGCTTCCGATTAGGTTCGCGTTAAAGGTTACATTAGGCTTCACTTCATGCTTTGTTCTCTTTTTATTTGCAGCTTTTTGGACTTATAGAAACTTTCGAGTATCGTTGTAATGGTAATGGGTGCTGAAAAAAATTGTGGAAGTTGCCTGTCATTCCCAGACCTAATGGGTATAGATTCCTAATTTTTTTTTCTGATTTTGAAGCTCGGCGAGATGCAAAATGGGAAACTTGGATTGTGGAAGACACTGAGTCTTCTAGAGAACTCGGGTACCCATTGTGACTCAGCTGGGTGGGTAAGTGAACGAGTTAATGAGAGCGCCGGAGGGGAACACCTTGGCACTTAGTGCGTGTGACGCAAAACTGCGAAGTAGCAACCGAACTGTGTCGGGGTGGCGAAGTAGAGCTGGCCTTCGAGAGAGCGAGTCTCGTAGTAGCGAATTAGTGCTGTGCCCCGTTCTCGACACTCGCGATTATGGCAGAGAAGGGGAGAAGCTGCTGCGGCGCCGGAGGTGGCAGCATGCGGGCTGCGCGGGGGGCCCGGTCTCAGCGCCCCCATGCATGCACCCCGCCATCACCAGCACGACGATCTCGTTTCACTCTCGAATGCCATACAGCTCCTCTAGCTGTGACCTACTCCATCCGGGACTTGTTCCCATCTCGCCCCGTTCTCCACCGCCACCGCTAGTAGCTATAGCCACACAGCAGTAGCAGCAAACTCTCCGCTAGCGCTTTTTGACCATGATTGTCTTTTGCCACCACCGATAACACGCGTACTATGAGCGTCTCAGGTCAGGTTCCAGCAGCAGCAACCCATTATTCGTCATACGCATCCTTGAGAGTATCTTCGTATGTGTGTTGAAACTCCCACTCTGTCATATTGTTGCCTTCGCAACCTATCAATTACAGTCCCATCAGGCTTTGGGGTCAGTAGCTTTGTCCAAGCGATTCGTCTCCGAGCTTGGTTTTGCGAATAAAAACAGAGCATACTTCTTGCCAGGCGATGGTGTCACTTACAGGCCCTTGTGATAGCGCAGAATGAAATTTATTTTGGATGTCAGGTCACTCTAGTTTGGTTGGAATTCTTACGCAATAGCTTACATTCTCTTTTCGTGCCAGAATGGACATACCTACATCATTTTCCTTTATCTCGAGAGCTCGGTTTTTTCTCAACTTCTCCCCACACCATTGCCTTACCTAGATTTCGCCGCCCTAACTTTGTTTAGTCTGGTTTCATTTGGCATACGTAACAGTCAAACCCTAGTTACCTTAATTCGCGACCATTACTCAACTCCACATTTTTCCTCACTTTACTTTCTAATATTTTGTTTGTGAATATCTATAGACTATAGATTGCTAATTCAAAATTAAAATTGCTCTCTCTGCTACTTTTCTAGTCGTAAATTCGTAGCGTAGAGACTGTCTCCAGGGCTCATCTAGTCATTTTTGCCTGAGCACTCTTATCGCCGTCCCGTTATCACTTCGTCATAAGTTCAAGCAACTAAAAGCACAGGCGTGTGTATGTTTTGAATTTTTACTCTTGTGGTTGGAAGCAAAGCAAACGACGAGTTTCTTCTCGCCGCTGCTGCTGCTGCTGACGAAGACGACGACGACGAGCGATTTACACAAACCGTCACAAACTTACACCACTCACTACCTAATGTAATGTTCATTGTTTGTGCGTGCATGGATGCTGATGATGTTCCCCTATCGCATTAATTACACACTATGTATAAGGTTAATGATGATTTGCTAAACAGTATACCGAGAACACGTCAAGATATAGCAGTTTTACATCGTTCATGGGGCTTAATAGCTGTTCGGGGGCGTAGAGAGGCAATCCAAAAAATCAAAAATAAAAGCGCATTTGAAACGATCACTTATCCGTCAGTATTTCTCTTACACCTTCAGTAGAGCTCAAACTCAAAGACAAGCGAGTACTCGTTTGTAGCAAGTTCTCTTTTCTCCATTCATCGTGAAAGTTATCTACAAGCAGTCCTCATTTTTTGCCACTCTTTTTTTGACTTTTGCAAGTAAAATGAAAAATTCTCGCTTAAACTTCAGAAGAAAATAAGACTTTTGAGAATTTTAGCAAAATATATAATCTTATTATGGTCTACTGACTCCATTGCGCAGTTTACAGCAATTTTGAGGGGTGTATTTTATATCTTCGAGTCAGAAATTTACACTTAATAATTCAGTAATATATGATAATTAATTTCGAAATCTTGAACGTATTGCTAGCGGGCATTTCCCGGCTGGTATACCGTGCTCCAGAAATAATATTTAGAGTTTAGAGTTGTGACAGAATTTTGAAAAGCGCAAGCCCACTTCCTCTCATAATTCTTTACACTTTCATTTTCGCTTCCCCTTCCACATCTACTCATCATTCATCAGCATCAGTTCTAGAAGTGTGCGCAATTTCTGCGTCTGTGCAATTTCTGTCCCAGAAACTTTATGCAAGTAATTTGACCCATTAATGTTTTTTGCTGCTTATCATGTCATAATTGACTCCGAGTCAGTCAGTGCCTGACCTGCCCTCGACTCGGTCGTTACTTGCCGAGAGTGGGTTTTTGCGCGTAATATGTAGCGCGGTTTTTGCCGGCATTCCAGCTCTCAGCTTGGCTTCTGTATTGCTTGGTTCTCGTCTCTCGACTCAGTCGCGCTTTGCACTCTCTACACTTTCTCGCCCCGCGCCCCGCTCTCGGGGCGGGGGTGGCGGTTGAGAGAGAAAGTCCTAATTGACCCGGTTCGGTAGCGTGCGTTCATCACAGCAGCTGCAATACGGTTCACTTTCTCGAGAGCGACCGACTCTTCCCTGTGATATAAGCTAATCAATCAATATGGATCAATGATTCCTTGAGGGAGGAAGTGAACGTAAACAGAAGCTTCGGAGTGATTTTCGACTTGCAAAGGGGCACATGAGCGCGACACGTGCGTTTATCTTTGGGCTTTTGCTTCGTGTTGACTGCGTTGGTTGTCGAAATTTGATAAGCGTTTTTGGAGACGACGAAAATGGCCTAAAACACCATTTGCAGATCACTGGGATGAGCGCCATCATGGAGAGCAAACCGTTCAAGCCTGATGACTTCATCAAGCAGGAACCCTACATAAAGGTACCCCATACCTCATCTCCAATGTTCCTAACTCTGCTCAACCTCAACTTTTAGGAGGAATACGGTGGCGGCGAGATACTGTCACAACAAATCATGCATTGCCAACCGAACATGCAGCAAACGCTCAGTTGGGATAATTTGCCCTTTGGCTCCATGAAGGTACAGCTGTTTGACACATTCTCTTGCTTGTTATGTCCGCTACATCGCAACCTATCAGTCTCACTTCCATTTCGGGGTCATCAACTTTGTCCATGTCTATTGTTTCGAAGATTAAGAGGCACAAAAACGTAATGCCAGCTTTTTGCAGGAGTCACTTACAAGCGCCCTTGTGACATTGGGGCAATGTGTACTTTTCAAAACAGGGTCAAATTCACTTCTGTCATTAGCAAGTGTAGCAATAAGTTTAGCAAAGTCACACTCAGTGATTGCTTAGAAGTTGTAATTTGCGCTACTTTCCGCAATGGTTTATTATGTCAAGTAGGTAAAATAAAAAATTGTGTAATTGCATACATGTCCAAAGTTAGAGATCAAACACATTTCTCGGTAGCATTAAAATAAACTATGTCTGTACTCTTCACTTCTTTTGAAAATCTTTCAATTTTTTTCAGAGCTTTATACTTGTTGTGTAGCTGAGCTGGAAAAATTGTGTAATTGCACACTATGCGCAAGATGAGGATCAAAAAGCACATCTATATGTGATCTTGAAATAAGCAATTTCGCTGTTTTTTATGTGCTAGAAAAGTTTCACTTTTAAAAAAATTACTACAAATTATCAATATCTCTAAATTATTTCGGATCTTGAACAGCTTTCGCGCAAATTCCGCTGTTGTGCAAGTGCACCCTTATTCCACTTTAGCTGTTCATCTATACATTTTTGTTACACATATCATCTATAAATTGTGTCTTTTGGGAAGAAAAGGTGTATAAAAATCAAAAAAAAACACTCCTCGTGTTCGAAATCATTCTGTTTGATACTATTTTGCGAGATATCACATTGTTTATATGATGATTTGAGAATAAACTGAAATAAAATATGCATCTTTGTTAAATTTTACTCATTCAAGAAGTAAAAGTTTGGCTTGGCAAGAGTGACAACTTGTTCATTTTTTCTTTACTTTCCACACAACTCTATTTTTTACGTTACTCGCAAATGCAGAAGGCACTAATCGTATTTTAGTACCAGGTGTCAAAACAGAGTGCAACGCCGTACACTGATGCGACCAATTGTAAGAAGTCAAGCAATCACATCAAGCGTCCGATGAACGCTTTCATGGTGTGGTCGCAATTGGAACGACGTAAAATCTGTGAACATCAACCAGATATGCACAACGCTGAAATTAGTAAACAAGTGAGTTATTTATTGGGTTGGGCAGTGATTAGATAGAAGGTGGACGCGATTATCACAAACTTTCACTGCACTTGGAAAAAAAAACTTTTAGGAAAATTTTGAGTCTTTTCGATTCAAGTTAATGTATTCAGCTTGAGTCAGCTTGTACTTTTATTCTAATCTTCCAGCTCGGTTCTCGATGGAGACAGCTTACTGAAGAGGAGAAATCGCCGTTCGTTGCCGAAGCGGAACGTCTTCGCTTAATGCATATGCAGGTATGATTGCCAAATCTCTTTTAGACACAAATCAACAAATGGCAATATTGTGTAGAACCCTTAAATTCATCAAATATATGCGAAATTATTTTTCATTAGAACAATCAAAACGGCTCTGAGTGAAGTCTTCCCTCGCAAAATTCTTATCGTTAGCACTAGACTTTCAACCTTGTCACAGCTTGACCTTTCAACAAGGCTGATACCAGTTCTTAAGCCTTAATCAGGAAAATTTGAAATTCTTTCAATTAAGCTCAACTCGAACATTAATGTCTCCAAAATTTTTTTGGGAAAGTTTGTAGTCAACAGTAACTGATGTTCAGTACATCAAATTGATGCCTTAAACGGAATTCAACAAAAAAAGTTAGTCGAATGACAACATGCAATGAAACCAAAGTTTTTGACTCTGGAGTATGAAAAATTGATTTTTGAATCATGCTACGAACATAAAGCACCGGCTAAAATTCACCAAAAATTTGCTATCAATAAAAACTGATCATATTGTTTAATTGAGGCACAGCAGAATTTTTTATAAAAGAGAAAGCTGTAAAAGTATGCTGTCCTCCCAGCATTTATTTTTCTCGCTCTTTGACTTTTCTGTAGCAACAACAGGGTCAAAATCATAGAGGCATCACCATTCCCAATTTCTAGGAGTACCCCGACTACAAATACAAACCACGCAAGAAGCCGAAGAAGAACCCTGACGGAACCCTGCAGAATCCGAACGCCGCCAATGGACCGGCTTCTCCGAGGAGTAAGCCCTTGAAGAGGTATGTGCGAAAAGATACATTTATCTGCTGCTTCTGGAATGTCATTTGCCTTTCCTTGGTTGATAAATGCGCTCTGTTGCAGACCTTTACCACACGTGGCAAGCATCGGCATGTCCATTTCGGACCAGCAGTATCCCCTCGGAAAATCCTTAAAAATCGATCATGACGGGGTGCGGGTGAACGCCGGGATGATGCCATACATGACGATGATCCCGGACGATATCAAGAGCCCACAACACGTGAAGCAGGTCAGAATCACTGTTTCTTTCCTCCTCTTTCCGTTCCGCTGACCATCCGCGCCGTCTCGGGAACGTCACGCCATTGATCCGCGCGCCGAGAGCTGGCTTCATCCAGTTTCTCTCGTTTGCGCAACGATGATCTTATCGACTTGTGGAAGTGCATTGATCGTACAGATTTTCCCCGGGGGATGGGATGGATCTATGCAGAAATGTCATATACAACAAGAAAGTGGGGGTTCCAAATTCAAGAAAATATTCTAGGAAACGCGCCTCTTCCATCCGTCGTTCCCATCACCATCCGAGTTCGGCCAAGCTCCCCTGACACCAGAGTCCGGCTTCTACGACGACTACTATGGTCCAGGAGGTGCTTACGCGAATTCGACTACCGCTAGCCCACCTAACCAACTTCTTATGCCTATGCACAGACTGGTAGGTCCAGAACCAGTGATTCACCCACTAAAAATAAGAATTCCTTCAATTTTAGCAAGCGATGGAGGGTGGAATGATGGCACAATTTTCTGGCCAACAACAGCCACCGTCTCAACAGCAGCAACAGCCACAGCAACGGCAGCAGCAGTTTTTCGTGCAAACTTCCCCGAGTGCGCATAACCCTCAAGAGCAGGTGAATTCCTAAGATTCAAACGTCAAAGATTGCTGAAAACATCACAAGATTTCTCTCGACCGAAACATCAAGTTTGGGTGAACGCTGCGGAACTTTTTCGTCTAGCAGGCTCCCTTTTCAGAGCAGTGAAAATTACATTTGATGAATAAAAGAGACTACCTATGAGACCGAAGGAATCCATATCACACCTATAATTAATGTTTATGTACAGTACAGCTAATTGCGACCGTTTCTGACCTGTTGCTCGACCAAGCGTGCAAACATTTGCAGATTACAGCATGATTAGTAGTAATTGTCAATCATATGTTAGCGGTTTATGACGGGGTTTTGATTTTGAAGATGGTTGTCGGGGCTTGCTACGTCTTCTGTAAACGAGTTTCTTTTTGCTTACAAGTTGTTAGTTCAGTTTGCAAAACAAAAACGGCAAATTGCTAATTAGAAAAAATATTTAACGTTCTGTTCCTATTTACCATACGGAAACTAGAAGAATCGTAAATTTCCCGGAACTCATATATAGTGAAGGAAGATTGCAGAAATTGTGTAAAACAATAAAGACTAAAAATAAAATAAACGGCCTGTAAATGAGATCTACAATCCACTTACTTTTTCTTATTGATACTGCCTAGTAGTCTCAAAATAGAATTTTCGAACCTTTGTGGGTTGCTAAGTCTGGAAATCATTCTATGACTAAAAATCGCATAATTTTAGAATCAATGCTTGTTCTTTGTGATTATTTAAGAAACATTCATACCATTGTAGGAAATCTAAATATGATAGACGAACTCGATTTGCCCTTTCTTTGAAAAATCTGGATTCGAACTTTAGGCAAATTTGATTGCTTTGTTTCTCCAGTGTGAGATTCTGGATGAGCTAACGCTTGAGATCTTGGCACGAGCAATTTTTTTTCATAAAATTGTAGTAACAACTTGATTCATTGCAAGAACGGATTTTGCTCATTATAATCTCATTTTTTGTGGATCAAAGGTTATTGGTATTTCAAAATGATTTTTCATTTCAGGACGATCTACGTTCGCTGTCATCAGGCTCATCAGGCTACGGTTCTGTTCAAACCGAATGCGAGCAGCAGCAGCAGCAGCAGCAGCCAGCTTTCGCGGCCAACGCACCGCAGCCTGCCGCTTCGGTACCGCAGTCGCAACAGTCGCAGTTCGGTGCGTCCGAGGCCGAACTGCTGCCGTCCATCTACGACTTTAACTTCACCGCGGCCGTGAATGCGTCGAACGGATGGAACGAGATGTGGCAGAATCATCTGGCGAACGGACATGCGTTCGATCACATCCCCATCTAGGTCCGTGCGTGTCCGTGCGTCGGTCACCTTAGAAATCACCACAGTGATATACGTCAGACTTTGACCGTTTTCTGTACAAAGAGCCATACATCTCGCGTTTTTCTCTTTCTAATTTGTCGATATTGTGTATTGCTACTCATCCGGTTATACTCGCACACTCGTCTGGAGCAGAGCGCCACCCAACGAGCGGTAGATCACACTCAGTATTCGCCCCCCGTTTGTCGGTATTACTCGCACTCGTCCCACCCCCGTAGCTGGAATAGCGATGTCCCCCTCCGTATCCCCCGCGGCCATCGTGATTGTCTAGATGTACTGCAGTATTCCTCATAGTAGTAGCCAGCCCTCGTCCACTTTCAGGTCGGCATAATGTCCAGTCTTTGTTTTTCCCCAACGATCCCATCATCATCGCCACTTTCCGTGAAAAGAACCTCATTGCTATAGATTCACACCATTCGGAGTCAAGCTTTATTCTTTTTCGTTTCGTCAATTGTTCGTGTTTGTTCCTTCTGAGAAGACTTTCTATCATTTTCTCGTCGTATATGTTAATAATTGCGATAATCACATAGCTGAAACACAGATTTTCTTTGTTCTATGGAGTTTTCCACTCTCTGCAGGATAATCCACTTCGATTATCCCAGCCACTAAACATATCTTCAATTCGTAACGAAAATGTCTCGAAATAATTATAGATTATAAACAGATAAATGCTTTGTATAATGCTGTGAATACTTCAAAGCGAAAAGAAATATAAATGTACAATTTTAAATTCGTAGAAATGGTCTTAGTTGATTGATTTCCACCAATATGTTTCATCAAAACGCTTTTGTTTACTGGATGTACGAGAGTAAAAATTTCTGAATGTGTGAGGGCAGCTAAGGCAACAGATATACGGTCTGGCGGTGGAGTAGACAGATGGGTTTATAACAGCAAAGTGATTTTTAAGAATAGGTACTTCCAAAACCAAATCTTGTGAGGAGTGATTTAGTGGTAGAGGCGCCGTTATGACTCTGGGAATCATGGTTCGATAACTGCCCCTAAGCCAATCAATACTTCCAATTTCCGAAGACTTTGAATTGGTACAAAACTGCGAGGAGCACTTACTTTTAGATTGCCTGCCCTTTACAATTAGCCCAGAGCGAAGAGCCTTTGAGATGTTTTTACTCTCCCTTCCGAAAAAATCAAATTTAGACCATTTTATTCGTTTTTTGCTTGTAGTTCGTGTTGACTTTTGCGCTCACCGATGTTTATAACATATAATCATATAGTTCTCTTCCACAAGTGACAGCAATTTGGAAAGTAGCGAGCTATTACTTCCTTTTTCGAATATATGGAGGAACATAGCTGGAGTGGTGGAGTAACGACGTCCAAGAGAAAATGAATACGGAAGGGAAATATAAAAGTGATTTGAGCTTTTTTGTTCATATGTGAAAAATTCTTTGTGCATTAGTTAGAATGATAATGACGCATGACATGTCACTTCTTAAATAAAACATTACGAAGATGCTGTAAGAGCACTACTCGATATGGCAGTGACCTTAGATAATATCAGAGGTCCAAGTTAATCGTGATCCATACAAATTCAATTAAAATCAAAAAATTCCACCAAAAAATTGGATTTCAGCTCAGGAAATTCATATAAAGTTTCTATTTGGGCAGACATAAAGTAAACAAAAATAAACAAAAATAGAGTGAACACATACTACAGTCTACTCATTCCATATGATCATGTGTGCATTGCACACACCGTCCATCTTTGGCGTCCGCATCCGGGATTTGCAAACGCAAAAACACAAGGGAGTAACAGATTGTTATCGCATACATCATCTTAAGGTGACTAATAAGGAAAAAAAGGAAAGAAGACATCACATCCAAAAGGTTGTCAGCTCTAAGAATCCCGGATGGGAACGCCAAAGGTGGACAGTGAGCGCAGTACACACATGGATATGAAATGATTCGATGTACAAGATTTAGTAGACGTATAGGCATCATATACGCAATTGCACTGTTTTTCACAATTGAAATTTTAAGAAAAGATAATTGAAATACGATCGATGCCGCCCTTAAGGATCATAAAATCCTCTCAATTAGCTACATACACCGCAGAAATTTGTATTGTGGCATTTACAGATTTGAGTGCCCTAGTCTCCGAGAGTTATCACTTTCAGCATAAAAAACTCGGAAAATGTGATTTTCCCTAGAAGGAATAGGAGATTTGCATATGAAGCAAGAAAATGAGCAGAAGTAGGAACAAATAATAGCGTAATTTTGGCTTGTTCTTTGGTACTATCCTACTATTTTGCTATAGTATTGCTATGGTGTCGCAAAGCGTGAACATAGCCTCGGAGGGGGGGGGGGGGAGGGTAAAGTAGCCCAAACACATTTCTACCCCACGATTCAACACCTACAGTCGCTTCATTTCATATGATCATGTGTGTCATTGCACACACAGTTCACCTTTGGCGTCCCCATCCTGGATTCATGGGAGAAACAAGCCTTCAGGTAAGTGTTTCCAAGGTGTTCTTAGCATTTTCTTTCCTTATTAGTTACCAGTCACCTCAAATTGATGTAATCGATAACAGTCGGTAAGTCTCTTGCGTTTTTGCGATTGCAAATCCAGGATGAGGACGCCAAAGTGGACTGTGGGTGCAATGGCACACATGATCATATGAAATGAAGCGACTGTATACACCTTTGCTTTTTGCTTCTTCACTCATCACACTTCCCTCTCTCCTTCATCTACATTCTCCTCACCGCTCGACGCTATAACCCCCTCCCCCCCAACCTGCGTCCGTGTGCAAGAGATATCGAGAGTTCATTACACGGAAAGTAAATTAATCAAAACTTCGATACCGGAAGCGCAGAATGCATCTTCGTGAAGTACTCAGCCTTCGCGGCGATGGCGTCCCGCAGAGAATTCTATGCGATTACGGTCAACTCGAGAGACACCTGCCCGACCGCGACGATGAACTGGAATCTGCAGCAACCGAGTCAAGAAAACCCGCACCTGGGGAAAGTCAGATTCTTGTCGCAGCAGTAGGAAGTATATGAGTAAGTGCTACAGACAGAACCTATGTGAATGTGTGGTCATCTCGTAATTCAGAACTTGGTGTCAGTCTCAGCAATTTACTGCAATGAGCCACATAAACAAATATCCGATATTTCCGTGTGGTCTTGAAATTTTTGAGATGCGGTATTTACATCAAAAAATGAATGTAAATACATAATCTTGGGACAACTAATGCATGACAACTTCTCATAACCACAGAGTAAATTTCTAGCTTGGAGAAGCTCCAAAAGCTCATTTTTAGATTACTTAGTTTTTCGTTTGGAGAAAAAAATTGCTCATTGATTCCGACTTGCGACATTATTGCCACAGTAAGAATAACATCGAAGATCAGTTTACGAGATCCTTGATTTTCATTTTACTGGACGGAAGAAGCCGCATTTTATTTCACTTTTCCCTTTCCGTCGGCATCATTCCTTTCTGTTTTGGCCTTTTCAACCCCTTTCTCATAAATACAGGTAGTAAATGAGCTTCGCCATTTTCAGTTGCTGAGGATCATCAAAAGTATGGGCAATAGTCGATTCGATAAATTAGTTACTTCTTCACTCTCTGCAGAAAGAAACAGACTCAAAACGCGTGGCCAAAAGTTTTCGAAAATGAAATTTTTCGTTGCGAAACGCAACCTCTTTACCAAGCCTGTAGCGACAGTATAAATTATCAAATATAATTGATTGGACAAAAAGTAAAGACCGCAGTAAAAAAATTGAAAAAGGATTCTTTTATGTACAACTCAAAATTTTCAAGTAAGTCCGCCGAAAGTTTGTTTCGAATCCAAAATCAAATTTTTTGAGTGTACAAATTGAAAGATTTTTAATCGGAGAATTTGCAGTCTTCATACGAGTTTCTTGTTTCTTCGAAATTGTCAACTCAAAATTTTTTCTGAATCAGTCACTTGAGAATAGATAAACAGCTGCGCCATTCATACAGTCAGATGACTCTTTGCACGCGTATTGTACATAATCGTCCAACAATCATGCACTGACGTTCGATTCGCTCACTATCTCAGCCGGAAATCGAGTTCCGACGCAGCTCGTTGATCACGATGAAGTATAACCCGTCTCGTTTCGGTAAACTTTGCCGTGCCATTCGAACTCCCGCCGTTCTCGCGCTGTCGGCTTGATTTTTGGCGGCCGATACGATCGACTCACCACCTCTTTTTGAAGTCGGCACGCGACTCGAAACATTTCAACACAAAAATTCTACGGTGGGGAGAAAAAGTGGATTGGAAAATTTAATATTTGATGTTGGAACAGCGATTTTGTCTTATTGAAGGAAATATATGGAGGTGGGTTTAAACTGAGTTGGGAGCGGTTTCGTTCTTATCTGAAACCACGAATTTGAGGAGCTCGTGAAGAACCTATAGATTTTTTCTTACAACAAAAATATGCGCACAATGTAGCTTACCACGTATTGTAAACTACGCCAGATAAATTTACTATGTCAAGTAAAAATTTGTAATGCAAAACTTAGTTTTTAATTCAACACTATTCGACTCATAGTGCTCCTCTTTTTTGTATATATGCACTAAAAAAAGTGTAAAAACTTCCTTTCAGGATTGATCAAACAAGCTGTTCAATTTATGGAATATGCTATTCCGAAAGCAGTATTCCTTGATGTGCTCCAAAAATATAGTTTGAAACACAATCACTCGATAAGAAAATTCGAAAATCGTAATCACTCGTAGAGATTCTCGATCATCCCGAACGCAATCCATTTGAAAAACGCAGTTCACGAAACCTAGACTAGATTTCATTAGTCTTTTAGCATTTTTATGGAAGAAAAATCATTTTTCTCTGTTCTTCTTGATCAGTTTATATCGGTCTCCGTATGCCACCAAATTTTTATTTTAATTTTTGAAAAGATCAAGATTTTCTCTCTATGATGAATCGTGCGAAACGATTTCGTGGAAGATGGAGAGGATTAGGAAATTTCGAAATTTTAGTAATTATGCCTCAACCTAATTTCAACTATTTACAAATCAAACACATAGCAATCGTCTAGAAATTCTGACTTCTCCTGTCACTGAGAAGTTCGCTCGTTTCGCTCTACGACGTTTATGCCAGCAAATGGTCTAAGGCAAGGTCGGTCGCAAGTGCGCGGATTTTCAAATAGTTGACGTTCGACGAAATCGTGTTGACGTGTTGTTATTCGCATGATAATTGACACTGTAATTGCGACCGAAGATGCATATCAGAGCGAGAAAACTGTTGCAAGAAGATGTCACCATCAGAGCTTAAGAAATATGCGTGAAAAATCCTTTAAGGGAAACTCATTTCGTGTTCCATAAAGCCCTTCAATAGATCGAACTTACAATCGTATATACGTGGCGTTCGAGTTGCAAATATCGTCTGTGTGTTTAGGTTGCTATGCGGCAATTGTTCTAGTCTCGTTAAATATTCAGAAGCTCTGAAGAGGTGAGCCAAATCCATAGACCAGCTGACCACATGTCTCGCATAGTCCCTTACCGAGGCAGCGTAAGTTTCTTTTCCGAGAAAATTTTTGCCTTTTTGAACAGTTCATTTCCAGCGTGAAGTCATTTCTATACATGTGGGTCAAGCTGGAGTGCAGATTGGCAATGCTTGCTGGGAGTTATACTGCCTTGAACATGGAATCCAGCCAGGTAAAACCTTTGAGCTTCAAATATCTAGTGTTTCAAGGTGTACTCGATACCTTTTTCCTCCCTTTTCAGTCTAATCTTTTCCCGTTGAGTTTTCAAGGAATACCAAACTACTGAAGAACTGCTGCACTAAACCATTCAAATGTAAACTTGTGGTTTTGTTTAGATGGAAGAATGATCGACTACAATGATGGTGAGCAAGACGCATACAATACATTCTTCGCAGAAACCGCAGGAGGAAAGCATGTTCCTAGGTGTTTGTTGGTAGACCTCGAACCGACCGTTGTGGGTAAGTTACACAGAGATTTTTTCACTGCCTTTGAAAATTTATTTTCACAACTACTAAACCTAAAGAATAGAAAAGTTAAATATTTGTTAATTTTGTTTGCTATGAAAATAAATCAAGAGCTCAAGAATAGAAACACTGTTAGAGCAAATTTTGAATTCTTATTAGATGAGGTGCGTACTGGAACATACCGAGAGCTTTTCCATCCCGAACAACTTTTGTCTGGTAAAGAAGACGCTGCAAACTGCTATGCAAGAGGACGATACACAAGAGGAAGAGAAATGATCGATGTGAGAAAAAAATCTCTTATTTGCTGAAAGATAAGCTTGGAAATTTTACGTTTAGGTTGTCATGGACCGTGTTAGACGTCTAACTGAAAGCTGTCGAGGTTTGCAAGGTAGCAATTTTTGTGGTATTTTGTGTTTCCCCAAACTACACGTTTCCTATTGTTTATACGAAAATAGCTTTGAATAATGAGTTTTGCGCAGTGTCTCCTCGCTAGTGGGGTATTGCCTCAGAAAATCTGAACATCTTCCCAACTTTTCGCAGTTAGACAGAAAATAAACGACATGAGTTGTTGATACGGTATCTCCCCTTAGTAGTAGGTTGTCAAGAAAATAATGTCTTTTTTCATTTGCTTGCTTTAACAAAACAACCAGACTCAACCCAATAAAGGATAAATGGGTACTGTTCGGTAGAGCAAAGCAAGCCCTACAAGATGGCGTTCATAATATTGCGCCAAGCTCGATCCACGGATAGTTCGAACTCAAAATCTGAAGATTTCTAAATGCCCAAAAAATCGAAAAAAAAAATCAGACCTTCGTCCAAATAATTTCTACGGACCTCCCACTCATACACGTCAATATTTTCGATATCTGATACCCATATGTGCAGCTGCTGTATTTTTTCCTTGACTGAAAACTGAAATAACGAAAATTTTCGTGTTTTCCTAAAAGGAATGCTGAGCCATTCTTGCATATGTGATTCTATACTACTAGCCTAGATAAGTATAACCATAGATTTTCAGCCTATTCCGAGAGTTAGTTTTCGAGAAATGTCGCTTTTGGCACTGAAACTGAAAAGAAGAAAGCTGATTTCGATATTTCTCGAAAACTACTGCTCGGAATGGGCTGAAAATCTATAGATATACTTATCTAAGCTTGTAGTATAGAATCACATATGCAAAACCGGCTCAGCATTGCTTTGAAGAAAACACGAAAATTTTCGTTATCTCAGTTTCTAGTCAAAGAAAAAGTACAGCAGCTGCACATATGGATATCAGATATCGAAAATATTGACGTGTATGAGTGGGAGGTCCGTAGAAATTATTTGGACGAAGGTCTGATTTTATTCGATTTTTTGGGCATTTAGAAATCTTCAGATTTTGAGTTCGAACTATCCGTGGATCGAGCTTGGCGCAATATTATGAACGCCATCTTGTAGAGCTTGCTTTGCTCAATCGAACAGTACCCATTTATCCTTTATTGGGTTGAGTCTGGTTGTTTTGTTAAAGCAAGCAAATGAAAAAAGACATTATTTTCTTGACAACCTAATAAATGCAAAAGCAAAACCTTATAGGATTCCTTGTATTTCATTCATTTGGAGGCGGCACTGGTTCGGGTTTCCTATCCTTGTTGATGGAACGATTATCCACTGAGTATGGAAAGAAATCAAAACTGGAGTTTGCAATCTATCCAGCACCTCAGGTGAGCTCTACTTTGAGAAAACTTCTATTACCAAGCATCCGCAAATAAATAAATTAAAGGTTTCAACATCTATGGTGGAGCCATATAACTCAATACTTATGACGCATACAACGCTTGAACATTCTGACTGCTCTTTCATGGCTGATAATGAGGCGATTTATGACATTTGTCGAAGAAATTTGGATTTAGCAAGGTACGGACAAGTCTTTCTTGGTCACAGCTGCGTTTCACCGTCCAATTGTTTGAGCCATTTTCAATAATAAAAAAAAGCTTCATTTTTCTCGCACTGATGATAAACAACTTCTGGGTTTCAGGCCAACTTATACAAATCTCAATCGTCTAATAGCTCAGATCGTATCATCAATCACAGCGTCTTTGCGCTTTGATGGCGCTTTGAATGTGGATTTGACGGAATTCCAAACAAATCTGGTATAGAACAGCTTCTCTATATTGCAATTTCGTGGATCCCTTTTCTTTCACAGGTCCCCTATCCACGGATACACTTTCCCCTTGTAACCTACGCCCCACTGGTCTCTGCTGAACGCGCCTATCACGAGCAGAATACTGTAGCCGATATGACAAACACGTGCTTTGAACCGGGAAGTCAGATGGTGAAGTGTGATCCGAGGAAAGGAAAGTATATGGTAAGTCGCAGTGAAATAGTGTCACGAAAATTCGACCGAGGTCTAGTTGGACTTGTAGGCTGTTTGCTTGCTCTATCGTGGAGATGTCGTGCCGAAGGATATAAATTCTGCAATCTCAGCCATCAAAACAAAAAGGACAGTGCAGTTTGTTGAGTGGTATGTGAACTGTATGGAAAGCAGTCTTTCTTAAATGCTGCAGATGTGTCGAAATTTCTATGTAAAAAAAACAGGGTCTAATATGGCTTGGATTAATACTGATATGAGAGACTGCTAATTTCTGGAATTAGTTATATTTAGTTAAACACTCTCAGAAATGCTGATTTGAAATCCTATGTTTGCGTATAACACTGGCTTTTGCCGAGCTCATGAACTAACTACCCTGCTCAGCAGGAAGTCTTTCATCTTTTTGGAAATTTCTTTGTTGAAATATCTTTAATCAACACCAAGTCAGTCGATTGCATATCTCTTCAAATGCTGCTGACTCATATTTAACTACTTATCAAAAAGGAGAAAAATCTGACAAAATAACGGCTTGTTCATTATTAATAAGTGATACAACAAGGAGATAGGAAACCATATGTCGCCGATAAGCTCCACCCCGGACGGACAGCTGTCCATGAGATCACCTCTTTTCGGCGACATATAGTCCTCCACAGCAAGGTCTTGCTTTTACTTAGCCCATAACTTGACATAGTTGACAGTCAGTACCATCCATGCTTTTTCAGGAGCCCAACTGGCTTCAAAGTTGGCATCAACTACCAGCCTCCAACAGTAGTTCCTGGAGGTGATCTGGGGAAACAAACACGGTCAGTTTGCATGATAAGGTGAGCATAAATATACTTTGTCAATGTCACATATTGCCGAAGTTTCTAGCAACACCTCAGCAATAGCTGAAGCTTGGGCTCGGCTGGACCACAAATTTGATCTCATGTATGCTAAGCGAGCTTTTGTGCACTGGTATGTTGGAGAAGGTAAGCATAGCGTTTTGAAGTATTTCTTGTTTTCTGGAAAAAAGTATCAAGTTCCCCTAGGTATGGAAGAAGGGGAATTTTCTGAAGCACGTGAGGACATGGCTGCTCTGGAAAAAGATTACGAAGAGATCGGAGCTGATGAATACTATGATGACGACGATACCTATATAGCTTCTCGCGGAAGCAGTGCTTATTGAAATCTTTATCTACTATCTGAATAAAAAACCTGCGTACGTTGCAAATACACACATTGCATTATATCACGTTGGTTCCTAATCATCAAAAAAACATTGTACAACTTACGACGTTTAGCTCAATCGACCTTGTAGGGAGTGGAGAATTTTTATGATGCAAAACGCCGAAAAAACGATTGAGTTAGTCTTTTGATGCAAACCTTTGATTTTTATAATGCGCTCAGGCGGCGCATTCACGTCATTGTGGATTTATATGGAATGGAGTGATTGACTGCTTCATTTTCTCGTTCGACCGTTTACCCTTGAACCTCTGCATGACTTCCAAAGTGAAGTTTGTAGAATTTTATATGACTTTACTTAGAAAATGACAATATCATGGGCTATCATGAGCATCCGCGATATTTTGCATGAAAAATACTTGATCAAAGGCGAACATTCATCTCACAAACAGGATATTTTTGGATTGAATTTACATATATGTACCCTTTGATTCAATGAGATTGGAGGCTGGAAGGCGACCGCTTGCGCGCCTGCGACGCAGTATGCATCTCCCTCGCGAGCGTACTCTCTGTCCATTTACCTTTAGGTGTATCCTCTGATTCAACCAGCTTGGCGGCTGGAGGGCGGGGCTTCGTGAACTAACCTCTCTAGCCTTGATTAGTCCACGAAGCCTTGCCTTCCAGCCGCCAATCCAGTTGAATCAGAGGGTACACCTGAAGGCTAAATGAACTTGGATTGTCAATTGCGATTTGTTTGCTGACACTATTACGAAATTGCATATGTAAGAAAAAAAAAACAATTGATCGCACTTGAAAAACAAAGTCCTTCATAAATGGCGCAAACTTGGAAAATCGAATATTTATAAAACATTTTCTCCAACCTGGCGGCTTCTCGTTATTCACAGTGACAGATCGTTTTGAGTCCATTCTTATTCCCGTTAACAACCATCAAATTTCGAGAAGTGCACAGCAAACAGTCTACAAAAAGAGCAATTTAAAGCAGCTTTTTCTTCTCTTTTAGCACTCGTACTTCAGTATGTCTTCCTTCACTTTTTGGTCGCCAAGTTTGTGAGCACGCCATTTTCAATGAAAATTCATTTATTTCCAATTTTTATTTTCACGCATAAAGTGAAGCCTCATAATCACTGTCCTAGTGATGCCAAGCAAGACACATAATGTGCAACATTCCTGAAATCTGTGCATTTTTAGAAGAATCCTTCTTCTTATAATTGCAGGAAAAAATCCTGTATTTTTGAGTATGCACTAATTTTGCTAATCCTAAATAAACAAAACATCCAAGGTCTACCTGCTCCGAAAGAGGATACTCTGCGGTCTTGAGTGCGACGGTTTGCTCTACTTGCCATACCCCATACTCCTGCGAGATTGAGGCTATTGAAGGATTAACGAATTATCTGCCAAAACAAAAACGTTCAATTGTGGCATAACGCTCCAAAAGGTGTGACTCCACACCTTCGCGGTTATACCATATTCTAACATTTTGGTCGCAGAGGAAGTGTTGGCGGGATTTCAGTTGTTCAGTAGTCTATATTTCCATAAACAGCCATGCCTTCACTATTTGATGGTGTCAGTGTACTTTCATTGCTTAAAAAAATCAAAGTTATAAATTCTATAAAGTGCTAAAATTGCAATTAATGATAGCTACTTACTTGGTTTTGCGTACACATAGATCATTCTTTGCCTATAAGCGAGCGATTTTGTCCTTTTATTATCAAACAGTGCTTGACTATGAAGTAGCTATCGTAACACGTCGTGGGAGCACATGCAATAAAAAGCCTACCAACATCTTAGACTTGGCCAGAACGCAAAGTAGTATGCAACATGCATGACTTAAGAATTCAGAGTACATATAGTGCCTTTCATACTGAAAAACTAATAGCCTTAAACCACATAGTAAATGTATGAGTCAGATTATGATTTCCCTGAAAAATGTCAAAATAAATCAAATTCGCACTTTTGTATTGCTTGCTCAAAGATCGTAACTTTTCATAGAGGCGCTTAATCGGCGCAAACTTTGCACTGTTAGGCAGAGCTGGTGAAGAACCTATAATACTGACTGCTCCGATTTTTGTTGCAAGTTTTCGATTTTTTATGACCCTACACAGAAAATTCGAATTTTAACTAATTTTCTTCTACCGCTCTTATCTATACAAAAGATGATCATTAACAAGCAGCTAAAATGTCATTATAAAAGCATGAGACTTACTCTTCACATAAAAATAAAAGCATTCAAATCGGTTGGAAAAATCAGAAGTGATGAATTTTTGAAATTGGTGCGCCAGATCTTTCGGGCCAACCTAATAGCTTCCAACAGAACTATTAGGTTGTCCAAAATGTAAACTCCATTTTCAAAAAAATTGAGCTGTTCTTGTTCTCCTAACAGACTTGAGGTGCCATTCGATAGAGCGGAGCAAGCCCAACAGAAAGACCACCAAAGATCCACCTAAGTCGTAATCCAAACAAAGTTCGGGGCCAAAAATCAAGATTTTTCAGATACTCTAAAAATAGGGACCAGTCCAAAAAATTCTTACGGACTTCAAACTCGGTCTTTATATAGAAGACACATAGTATTACAAAAAATGTATCTGAATGATTTTTTTCGAGGCTCAAAATTGAGAAAAAAAGATGGTCTGAAAATGCCAAAATGCCACCTTTTTCGGGTTCTTTATGTAAAACTTGGTATTTCTCGAACATAAAAGCACATACAGGGGTAATTTTTTTGAAATTACTAAGGTTTGCAGTATGCAATGACATGTGTGGGAGGGGCTGAGGAGGAGTTTGCTATTTTCGGACAATTTTTGTTTCTCGCTTTTTATGCTTGGAAAAAATTCGGTAAAGGCATATTTGAGTACTATGTGCCTACTACATGACGACCAAGTTGGAGGTCTGTAGGATCCTTTATCGCAGAAAATCCAATTTTCAGGTGACAAGATTTTTCCGATTTTGGCTTCAAGCTTTCCACGGAGCGGCTTAGGTGGATCCTTGGTAATTATTTTGTAGAGCTTGATCTGCTCTATCAATGGTATGATACCCTAAGTTTACTGGGAAAACAAAAACAGCTGGAATTATTTGGAAAAGGAGTTTACTTTGGGGACAACCTAATATTAATCTAATCATTGCAGGTCTAGGATCCCATGTGATGGTAATGGGCTTCTTATCTAAACAGTATGTTTCTTGTAGGAAAATTTCCATAATGCGCCCTCCAAGTGAAGTTAATATTGGTCACGGAAAGATTGCCACGGGCTAACATATGCACAAATACAGTTTCATCTAGAGCTGTCTTTTTTGCAGAATTTGATGTCGAAAACTAAAGCTCCGTATAGATATAATATTTTACAAGCCAACTTCCTGTGAATAGGGGCAATCGATGCGTCGAAAGGTGTAAGTGGTAAAGCAAAAGCTAACAGAGCTTATTTAGCAATTCCTCTCGCCACTCGCAAGATTTATGTATAAAAAATCACTATTTGAAAGTGCGCATACATGAGTCACAAGAGCGAGGTCAAAAAACGACTTTTCATTTGCTCAAAAAATTCATTTGGACTACATGGACTCTTTTGGTCATAAGATAATTCAAAAATCTCGCTATTGATTGGTGGTTACCATATAGTGTGCCTTCCAGTCCTTACAAAGGAGATGCGCCAAACAAAGATAGGTTTGGAGAAAACTTTGCAAAGAATTGAATGTTTGCTTCTTCTCCAATAGTATCTTTCGTACGTAATATGCTAGCCAAGTTGTTCAAATCCACACATAGTTACCATATGAGGAATCATGGGTGCTTCCACTCAAGCAACATCTACTGTACCGCTCACAATTTTTGTAGAAAAATCACATTGTTTACTCGACTTGCTGAACGGTTATTCGACTCGGATGACCATCACCAAAGAATTGAAATCTTGAAATCATTGTCATGTGATGATAAGAATGTCATGTGATGATAGAGCTTATTAACGACGCTGCTCACTTATGATATGTGCCATAGCAAAAATTACCTCAAAACATATGTTGTAAAAATTGTTCTAAATTCATAGGGTTTTGAATATGTAGGTTGGAAAAAATTCAAAATCGACTCCTATTTTGCACTGTAACATGTGAGTTTCTCCTGTTTGCCGTAACATGTTGCTGAAGGTAACTGTAGAGCTATCGTAGCAGCTACAGTATTTCTGCAGGTATTTTTTCCTATAAATCACAGTGGCGCATTTAATTCGCTACCCCACTTCTTCAAAAAGTACTTGACAATTTAACAGAATTTTTCGGATGATAAATAGAAGCAGCTTATATCATTGGTGACATCGTGTCTGAACTCTTAAGAACATGGCGTAGTTCTTCGTAAACTTTGCTAATAAAGTGCTTTTGCGTGAGTGAAAGTGCAAAGATCATCGAAAACAAAAATCAGCTCCTCCAGTTAACGTTCCCAACAAACAGGGGAAGCCGCTCGACTGATGAAAGGCGATTACCGTCACATAGTCATGATAATCGCAGCGTAAATTATCATAACAAATGGTGTCATTCGCCTCGCTCGTGAAGTCTGCTGTATTCGCATCGACAAGTCCTCTTCCAAGGTAATTATAAGATTTGTTGAGGTTTTTTTTCGATGGATCAAATGTCTTTTTTTATTGTTCAGCGGCTTCTTAGCAGTTGTCAGTTTTCTTTCCTTTTTACCCTTTCCTTCTCTTCCTTACTTTCTATCCTGTCTTATGCTCCCAGAATCGTTTCGAGACCAACAAATTGTAAAGACATTCATATTGTCAGCATACTTAATTTTTGCATCTATATGTGTTTCTTCTTTGCTGTAAATTATGTCCGGTATTTCGTGATAATTGTAAAATTTTTCGAAAATAATGAACGTAAGTGAGTCTCGTTTGGTATGTTGCAAAAAAAAGTGGGCTCAAGATTTTGCAAATCATGTTCTTCCCCTTTCTTACGAATTTCTGACGTTTTTTGGTAATTTTTTGATGTCGGCATAGCTTAGTCTCTGTTCCTCTTTGA